AGAGCTGGATGAACACAGCAGGCCAAGCAGCACCTGCTCCTCTGATGCTGCTTGGCCTGCTGTGTTCATCCAGCTCTGCACCTTGTTATCTCAGATTTTCCAGCATCTGCAGTTCCTACTATCTCTGATACAAGCAATATGTCTCTTTTCAGCAATTTTCAAGTTTTTTAAGATGACCGAAGATCATACACATGCTGACTGCAAAATCCCCCATTCTTATAGTGACCATTTGAAATCTAATTCACAGTGTGAGAATGGCATTTATCTCAAATATCATAGGCCTAGATTATAGGGCTGTAACAACTGCGAGTACTGCTTTATCTTAAACTTTTCTAAATTTGAGTAATTTGGGTCCTGCCACGAGTAATAATTTTGTAGTTATGGTTGTGCAGTCAGTGGGATTTCAGTGAAGTTGTAACAGCACATATGAAATGGTTAGCTGTGCCCCGAAGGAAGCTATCCACAGTCTAAAGATTGTTCAGACAACTGGGCAGGTGGCATTCCCACTTTGGTAGTCTGCAGGATCTGAGACGCATTTTACAAGTGGCATCCAGTTAACTGTTGGCAGTCGTGGCTGCCATTTCTACCAATGAGCTGTCCACTGCAAGAATTGCTGGCGAAGTGAGGGACTGGCAATATAGCAGCGCCACCTGAAATGGTGGCCATTTTGCAACTGCACTTGAAAGAAGTTGGCAGCATGGAAGGATGCTGGCTTACCAAACAGGGAGACAGGGTTTTCGGGTGCTGGGACCTATCAGGCAGTTATGGGTTGTGGGGCGAGGAGCCTGTTGGTGAGCAAAGATGGTGATACTGCCATGGACGTGGCCATTGTCATTGGAGGGGGTAGAGCTCTCTGATGCACCAAAAGATGCCTGATTAGGAGGACATCTGGGGAGGCGATGGCCCTGTGGTATTGTTGCTGGGTTTCTAATCCAGAGACACAGGTAGTGTTTTGGGAACTCAGGTTCGAATCCCACCATGGCAGATGGTAGAATTTGAATTCAATAAGAATGTGGAATTAGGAATCTATTGGTGACCATGCATCCATTGCCAATTGTCAAAAGACCCATCTGATTCACTAATGCCGTTTAGGGAGGGAAACTGCCATCCTTACACATGCCTCCAGAGCCACAACAATGTGGTTGAATCTTAACTGTCCTCTGGGTAATTAGGGATGGGCAATAAATGCTGCCTGGCCAGCAACACCCTCATCCTGTGAATGAATAAAATAAATCACCTTCAGCCTGCTAGTAATCTGCCATGATTTATCTCATGATACCCTCACATGGCATAGCGTTCCCACTAGCGGCAGCAGATAGAGCGTTTTAATTGGACACTTTACAGTGTAACAAAATCCGTCTTTGCTGGTGATGCAAGTATGGGATGCTCACATCCCATGAAAGAATTTTTAAGAGCTGTCCTCAGGCAGGAAAGCTGTTTGCCACTTTTTCCCTGCTAGTAAGATGGTATGCCAGAAGGCAGTGATGACTGGCATGCTAACCTTTGTCTTCCCATACCAGTTTACGTCATCCCCCACCGATCATCCTGTCCCCTAACAGGGCTGGTAAAGTCAATCCCATGGATCTGATACTAATACTGATAAAAATGGTGATATTTTTACGTTAGGTGTGTACGATAGAACGAAATAGTTTTCATCCCAACACCAAAGGGCAGTACACTCTCCAGTCAAGTGCAACATATCTAGGGATGTTGTCACTCATTAATTTGGGCTGGTGTGAAATTTCTAAGCCCTTGACCAGCCATCATTGTGAGTAAGACCCTTGTGAGTTACATATCGATTGAGAAATAGATTAAGGTTGTTATTTGAGGTCCATGCTATACTTTCATTCCATCACCACTCTTGGTATTAATCCCAGGCCTTGAAAGAAGGGGATAAAGGTATAACTCCTGCATTACTCAGTTACACGCATTTCTACTGAAAACTCTAATTGCATACTGCCTTTTATTTCAGCTGGTGTGACTGTATCACTGCAGGTTGTAATTTAAAGTGTATATCTGAAGCAAATCCAAACTTGAATATATCTCTCTTTATTTAAAATGCAATGATAATAAATAGCATTGGACTATTTCATACTTTCGTGCTTTGTCTAGTAACTGTGGTCAACAGTTATGTATCTACAAATGCAAAGTTATCATTCACAAATTAGTTAACAATGATACCACACATTTAACAGATGGAATGGTAGCAATGATAAATTATGTCTTTGTCTGTTTGTGAAGCTGACCACAGTCCATTGGGTCATTGACAGTTTTGATGTGTCTGAATAGGCTCAGTTGTGGAGATCTTCATTGAAATTCACTGTCAAAAATGACTTCTGCTTATATCACAATGGTTTAAGATGTCCCATCATTGAACATGTTCTATATTGACTTCTGACTTTTTCACTTTGATGAGACTTTCAGCAAGACAGCCTTCCAAACACACAAACAAATCATTCAGTTGGTCGACTTTAGTTGAGTAGTATTCTGAATGGTGGGCAGAGTTCACTGGTCACCCTGTCTGAGCAGCTTATCACAACTGGAAGCATTCTTCACCCCTTGGGACTCTCATCAACTATTCCTGTTGCTTCAAGACATACAGATGGTAGACCCTGATTCAAGGCCTGATTGACAGGTTTTTTTTGTTTGTTACTCAGCCAAACAAAACACTTTCATTGGGCCTGATGCAGACAAGCCTTTTGATTGGAGATAGTAGGACAGCACATTCAAGCCTTTTGATTGTTTGGTTTCACCATTTTTGCTAGCTTGCCATTCCACTAACTGTTGACACAGCTTTGGATGCAAAGAATCATCACAAACACCTAAAAATATATTCCATTGCTGGACTGAGTATTGAGCTTAGGGAATTGGTTAATACAGGCCAGAGTAATGTTGCATGATGAAATGGTATTGGATCTCTTTAATCTACAGAACTCCATTATGATGGAATCGTTCAACTTATGCTGTAGTTAATATCAGGTGCTGCAGGGCTGTTGCTGTTAGGACCAGTACTGCAATATTTTTTTATTCCACCTTGATTTGTGAAGACGCACACCGTTTGAAGGAACCTTAGCCCTAGCTCAGAAAGACTTGTTGCTGCAACTCTGAGTGTTGGTGACAGCATCTTTCAGTCCAACAGTCCAGTTTTCTGACTAGCTGCCTCAGTTTGTTGGTAAAGTTTTTGTGCATGTAAGTGTAGAGCAGTGGTATAACAAAGCTGCATGAATAAGCCAGCAGCTTGGATAAGCCCTTAACAAAATAGTAAATGTGATACTGCGTTATTGAGTCTGATCCTTTAGGGTTAAATGTGATGTGAACTAACAGAGTCATGTAATAAGGGGTCCACAGTATGAACTGAGTGCAGACTGTAGCCACCAGCAACTTGTGTGTAGAAGGATCCAGCCTTGCAGAATCTTGATCAAGAGGAGTGGATTGGTTCCGTATTCTGAGAATCAGTATTAAGGCGTACAGCACTGCTATAGCAGGGACAAAGAAACCGATAAACACCATGATGGTATCCGCCACTTCTTTATTCTGTATTTTTGAACACTCGATTATCTTGGGAACATGGCTGCACACATACAGCAGAAGGGATGAAAAGCTGGTGAGGACAGCCCCTCCCCAGATGAACCCACAGACGTGCTTGGTATTGTAGACACTGGACATGTAAGTTCTTGGCAAAGCTTGCTCAATGTAGTAATCCAAGCTGAGCAATGTGGTAGAGTACATGGTCACCAATGCTGAGATGTTAAACAATATTAGCAAGGTGATGTAAACTTCCCTATTGAATGTCCATACGGCCCACTGTGGATTGTCTGGCCCCAGCAGCTGTATCAAGGCCACAACACTGAGGATAAGGCCTGCGATCGCTATGTTGACAAAGTATACATCAGGCATAGTCATTGCCGGCTTGTTGTAGAGGTTGACAAGGACCAGCAAGGAGTTGTAGCAGATGCTGAAAGGGAAGCAGATGATGAGGTAAATGATGGAGAGGATGGAAAAGACCAGTTCAAGGTCGTAGCAGAACTGCTGGTCCACACTCTTTACTGTTCCATTAGAACCTACACAACTCCACATAGTGACGTCACTCGCCCTCTTTCAGCAGATTGCTAACTTGGCTGTGGAGACAAAAATAAATTACAATTAGAAATGATACCTATCTTTTGGGCTGAGGGGCTGTTTTGTAAAATAATAACAGTCCTAAGAATTAACTAGGTGCATCAGATCAGAAGTGGGTACAAGTATGGTGATGGATCGATAATATTATGTCTCGCTTCCTTCACAATGAGTTTCTAGTTTTGCCTAGGTCATGTGAACAATTACTCTGTGAAGGTGAACATTGGCCTATGTTAAAAAACCAGTGAATCACTAAAGATTGCCTAAGGTGGCATTCTGTATTCTGAGGAATGTACCTCTTTTTTCAATCCTCACTAATCACTTGTACTTAATAAGATGTCTTCATAAGCAAATCAGAACTTTTAGCATCATCAAATACATTGTAAATATGGCCAAGAATCACTATCTTTTGTTCAAATGCTCAGAAATATACAGTTCATGTTCTGCAACCATTAATTGACAATGAACAGAAAGAGGGAAACGTGTTACCTGTTTGCAGCCTATTTTGGACAGGATTTATTCCGATTCTTTGTTGATTGTGTACATAGACATTCATATTTCCACTTATACTCCTACCCCTTCTGGAAACAGTTGATTTTGGGTCCTTGTTTCCCTAAACACTTCACCACTGGGCTTTTCTTCATGCTGTATCTGGATCTGTTGCTGATTTACTCATAGACTGATTGCTATGTCTAATAAAAAGATCCATTATTGCTGTATCAGTCACCTCCAAGGGTAAGAGAAGGTAGGCTAGACAGACTGTGGCCTGTTTTAGTCTGGCAATTCCCATCTAATCAACTTGCTTTCCAATTATTTTATTGATGTTGTTCACTGATTTATCTCTTCATCTAACAATTCCTGTAATTGTAGTCAACAATGGGTTATAATGTCCTTCTCTTCTGCTTGCTTTTAATTTTTGTCTTATCTTTTTCTTTCTGTGTCATAATTCTTATCATTTCTGTCTCTAATTTGACTCGTCATATTTTCTACTCTGTCATTCAGTGTGTTTTTTTTTTGCCATTATCCCATTGTTGTTGTTCAGGGAGTTAAGCCATTGGGAATGACGAGCCCAGATGTTACTTTGACATTCCTGTTCTTTTCCTGAATTGATATTCCAGCAGTTTGCAGCAGGAATGTAGGCAATATGAACAGTGAATGGAGATATCCCATTAATGCTATTCTCTATTAAAACTGCCATTACACTGATTTCTAGTCTGTTGTATTTTTATTTTATTGTGTTAAAAGTAGTGAGGATAAAACAAGAAAAACAATTCAGAAGAAGAATCATATTGGACTTGAAATGTTAACTTTGTTTCTCTGAGATTCTGCCAGACCAGCTGAGACTAGAACATAGAACAGTATAGTACAGGCCCTTCGGCCCACGATGTTGTGCCGACCTACTACCCGACTAAGATCAATCTACCCTGCATACCCTACATTTTACTATCCTCCATGTGCCTATCCAAGAGTCGCTTAAAAGTCTCTAAAGTATCTGACTCCACTACCACTGCCGGCAGCGCATTCCACACGCCCACCACTCTCTGTGTGAAGAACCTACCTCTGACATCTCCCCTATACCTTCCTCCAATCACCTTAAAATTATGCCCCCTTGTAATAATCATTTCCGCCCTGGGAAAAAGTCTCTGACTATCCACTCTATCTATGCCTCTCATCATCTTGTACACCTCTATCAAGTCACCTCTCATCCATCTTCGCTCCAAAGAAAAAAGCCCTAGGCCTAGCTCCCTCAACCTTTCCTCATAAGACCTGCCCTCCAGTCCAGACAGCATCCTGGTAAATCTCCTCTGCACCCTCTCTAAAGCTTCCACATCTTTCCTATAATGAGGTGACCAGAACTGAACACAATATTCCAAGTGTGGTCTAACCAGTGTTTTATAGAGCTCCAGCATAACCTCACGGCTCTTAAACTCAATTCCCCTGCCAATGAAAGACAACACACCATATGCCTCCTTTACAACTCTATCAACTTGGGTAGCAACTTTGAGGGATCTTTGGACGTGGACCCCAAGATCCCTCTGTTCCTCCACACTGCCGAGAATCCTACCATTAACCCTGTATTCTGCATTCAAATTCTACCTTCCAAAATGAATCACTTCACACTTTTCTGGGTTGAATTTCATCTGCCACTTCTTTGTCCAGCTCTGCATCCTGTCAATGTCCCATTGCAACCTACAACATCCCTCCACGCTGTCCACAACTCCACCAACATTCGTGTCATCGGCAAACTTACTAACCCACCCTTCCACTTCCTCATCCAAGTCATTTATAAAGATCACAAAGACCAGAGGTCCCAGAACAGATCCCTGCAGAACACCACTGGTCACTGAGCTCCAGGCTGAAAACTTTCCATCTACTACCACCCTCTGTCTTCTATTGGACAGCCAGTTTTGTATCCAGACAGCCAAACTTCCCTGAATCCCATGCCTCCTTACTTTCTGAATGAGCCTACCATGGGGAACCTTATCAAATGCCTTGCTAAAATCCATATACACCACATCCACTGCTCTACCTTCGTCGTTGTGTTTTGTCACATCCTCAAAGAATTCAATAAGGCTTGTGAGGCATGACCTGCCCTTCACAAAGCCATGCTGACTATTTCTAATCAAACTGTGCTTTTCCAAATAATCATAAATACTATCTCTCAGAATCCTCTCCAATAATTTGCCCACCACAGAAGTAGGACTGACCGGTCTGTAATTTCCAGGATCATCCCTATTCCCTTTCTTGAACAAGGGAATGACATTTGCCACCCTCCAATCTTCTGGTACTGTTCCAGTGGACAGTGAGGATGCAAAGATCATTGCGAAAGGGGCAGTAGTCTCTTCCCTCGCTTCCCGTAGAAACCTTGGGTATATCCCATTTGGCCCAGGGGACTTATCTATCCTCACGTTTTTCAAAATTCCTAGCACATCCTCCTTCCTAACAACAACCTGTTTGAGCATTGCTGCCTGTTTCATGCTGTCCTCACAAATGTCATGGTCCCTCTCACTGGCGAATACTGAAGCAAAGTATTCATTAAGGACCTCCTCTACCTCCTCTGACTCCACACACAAGTTCCCTCCACTATCCCTGATCGGTCCTACCCTCACTCTGGCCATCCTCTTGTTCCTCGCATAAGTATAGAAAGCCTTGGGGTTTTCCTTGAACCTACCCACCAAGGTTTTCTCATACCCCCTTCTAGCTCTCCTAAATCCATTCTTCAGTTCCTTCCTGGCTACCTTATAGACCTCTACAGTCCTGTCCGATCCTTGCTTCCTCAACCTTAAGTAAGCTTCCTTCTTCCTCTTGACTGGATGTTCCACATGTCTTGTCATCCAAGGTTCCTTCACCTTACAACCTTTCCTTGCCTCAGTGGGACAAACCTATCCAGTATCTGTAGCAACTGCTCCCTAAACAACCTCCACGTTTCTGTCGTGCATTTCCCTGAGAACATCTGATGCCTATTGGTGCTCCATAGTTCTTGCCTAATAGCATTGTAATTCCCCCTCCCCCAATTAAATACTTTCTCATACCGTCTGCTCCTATCCTTCCAGCACTTTCTGTTTCTAAAACATTTGATGTACAGCACCCAGCTAACCTTACAGGGCAGCACATTATGATGTGTTTCTGTCAATAATTTGATTCCTAATTAGGCAAGTAGTAAGCTGATGTAAAGATGGACTGGCTAATGTATTAGCATTACATTGCTCTTAGTTTAACAGTGGAACCCATATGTGAGATGGGAGCATTGATTCTATTTCTGTTTATGCATTTTGCTAACTTGCTAATTCTGGATGCTCTGCATTGTTAGACTAAGCTACTGTTAATGCTGTAATATTGTTACATTACAAAGCTTTCCCTCTTTTCTCCAGTGGTCTCATCAGTGTGCCCCAATTAAGAGGACAGCTCACAGATTTCTGGCCCTGTGATGGCTATATATAACAATATATTAACAATCTATTGAAAGTGTCTTTCAAATGAGACTTTAAACTGAGGCCCTGTCTGCCCTCTATGGTTGATGAGTAATAAGATCCCACATCTTTTTCTCATTCTCTCTCTCTCTCTCTTTTCCCCCGACCCCACCTCCACTACCATTACCCCAACACAACAAAATGGCACTATGCCAAAAGTACATCTTTTTTCGTCAGTCGAGGAGATGGGTCAGACAGCAATAAAGATTAGATAACTTGAACTCGCGAGATTAATTGAAGTGATACAGTTCATAAGGAGGTTAAGGGCTTGCCTCAGTCCAATCTCATTGTAGCACTAATTGCTCACTGACTCTTATCCTACCCCAAGCAGACGCAACATCCATCATCTTTAACAAAAAAGGACCTTATAGTAATAGACTGACTATTACTATAAGTTCTGTTACTATAGGTAGAGATGGGTTGCCTAAAAGAACATGAGGTGACTTTTAATTTAGATGAAATCTTTTGCTTCAAAGAATTTTTAGTCACTCGTGCAAGCAGATTTCACTATCTACTGTATTGCAACAAATCAACCCAAACAGCTCCATACAAATATACTAGAATTAAGTTAGAATTTGGGAATGTTTCAGTTGAGCCATGAAAAGTTAAATTTAGGTATGTATGTAGAAATTGGGAGCAGGAGTAGGCCACTCAGCCCCTCAGCCTACTTCCATCTCTTGATATGATTCTAGCACTTTCCTGTCTACTCCCAAAACCTTCAGATTCTTGAGTAACAGGTAATTAATCTCGATCTGCCTTAAAAATATTAAATGATGCTGCCTCCACTGATCTCTAAGGGACAGATTTTCACAGACTCTCAACCTTCCGTGAAAAGAAGTTCTCCTTTTCTCATTTTTAAATGGGACAGCCCTTATTTTTAAATGGTTTCCTCTGGTTCTAGCCTCTTCCACAAGGTGAAGGATACTTTCAAGATGCACATTGCCAACTCTTCTGAGGAACTTGTCGGTTTCAGTAAGATCACTCTATCTTCTAAATTACAATAAATACAGACCTGGCCTTCCGCACTTTTCCTCAAAAGATACTCCCCACTTATCCCAACCATCACGTCGAGTGAATCTTTTCTGCACAGCTTCTAATGCAATTGTGTTCGTTCATAAATAGGGTGACCAAAACTGTATGCAAGACTCCTGATGTGGTCTCACCAAAGTTCTGTGTAACTATAGCAAAACACCCATACTTTGATGCTGTATCATTCTAATTGTACCTGGATAATATCCTTTTTAAAGTCTTGCGCAAGGATATCCAGATCCCTCCTTACCTTAGAGTTTTGCAGTCTCTCGATTTAAATAGTTTGCTGCTTTGCATTTTTCCACATTGTACTCCGCCTGCCAAATTTTTACCCACTCACTTAACCAATCTAGAGCCCTTTGCAGACTCATTATGTCCTCTTGCTGCTTGAGGTGCAAATTACATTCTGTTATGTATGCTTACGTACCAATTTGAATCTACCAACCTCTTAGTTGAGAGCATAGCAGAGGGCCGCAAATTAAACCTTTGAATAACAACAGCATACCTGAAGCACTGATATCATTCCAAAGGGTCCCATTGGGTTGCCAAGAATTTGCAGCCACTGATGTAAGTGTATTCAACAATACAATCCAAATAGATCCATATGAACATACCAGAAATGAATTAGTAATTAGAAATGTTTCATTTGGGCCATCAAAAGCTAAACACCCCCCAGGTAGTGGAGTCCAAAACTAGAGGGCATAGGTTTAAGGTGAAAGGGCAAAGATTTAAAAGGGACCTAAGGGACAACTTTTTCATGCAGAGGGTGGTGCGTGTATGGAATGAGCTGCCAGAGGAAGTGGTGGAGGCTGGTACAATTACAACATTTAAAAAGCATCTGGATGGGTATATGAATAGGAAGGGTTTACAGGGATGTGGGCCAAATGCTGGCAAATGGGACTAGATTAATTTAGGATACCTGGTCAGCATGGTTGGACCGAAGGGTCTGTTTCCATGCTGTACAGCTCAATGACTCTGTGACGTATCTTATCAGAAAACAAATTGACACCAAGTTACATTGGACATATTAGGTCAGATATTTAGACAGACATTAGGAAAAAGTGAAGTGTGGAGGGAGTGCTGCGTTCATGGAAGTGATATTATTTGGTTTAGACCAATGCTTCATAACATCGAAATTCAATATTTTATGAAATTTTTGGCAACATTTGAAAAAAACTGTGGTGAATGTCTGCCAGAGAGGGTGTTCCTTGGACAAGTCCTTGTAAGAGAATTAATTCATCCTCTCTGATAACTTTTAGGCTTGCGAAATCACTTTAACAGATGTGTATGTTTGTTTAGGACAGAACTGGTCATATTTATCCAACAATGGTTAGCAGATATCAACTCTTACCACACTGAAATAATTAATACATCACTTTTGTTTATAATCTGTGGCCTTTTCAATTGTCTGGTCAAACCCCTGGCAGTTGTGCTTTATATTGAAGGAGACTGAATTTCTTGGACAATTTTTTTAAAATCACGATGATACACTCTATCTTTCTGTATCGGTTTGACACTGAAACAGGAAGAAAGAATAAGGTGATAAACTGGCTGCATGGCTAATGTTCTTTAATGGCACCACGTCATGAGCTGGAAGCTGGAATGACGTTTTTGTGTTTATCAGCAACATAAAGCTTTTCATTACGAATGAATGGTCCAGAGTTCATCAGAGAATGAATTACAGGACTCATTCTGCTGATCATTTTGCTTCTATGTCTCAATAAAAATTAAATGAGTACTTTTCAACCTGACTGGTGCTGTTTAACACTATATTAATTTTGGAGACCCTGGGCAGCATATGGCATTTCCTGTGATTGTGTAAACAGTGAAAGGATTTGTCGTTGACCCTGAGCATACTAGCCAAATACAGCATTTGCATAAGGTCACATTTCAGTTCATTGAATGTGAGGACTTTACTGTGCAAACAGGCTTTTGTAGTGGGCATGAATTTAAAAGAAAAGAATTTGGAGAAGGTTCAAATAATTTGAACGTACACTTAGATATCGTCTGCTTGTTTCAGCAGTTCTGTTGGATATTACACATCCCATGGGGCACTGTTTTCTCCTAGTCACCACCTCCAAAAGCAATTATCTCATTGTTATGCTGGAGAACAGCAACGTCCACTTGCATTTTAGCAGAAATTCATTGTGTGAAATACTTCAAGATGGTTTGTTGTGATAAGGCATCATATAAATGCACATTGCTTAGACTACTGCCTGATGAACATTCCATTCTATTCATTTATCTCAGTGACCACACTGTGGGGGTCCATCGTTGTAGTTGTTATAAACAAGAGGATCCCAGTGTCTTAATGGTAATGAGAATGTCATATGTTCACTGCGGAGCTTAAAATTTTACATAATGGCATAAGGTTGTTGTCAACATTGTGTGGTGCCCGGTTGCAATGACGTACTATGTAAAAGCAGTTTGGGAAGCGAGTCTGTAGTTTGTCCCTCTGATTTCAGACAGGCACCTGAGGAGTTGAAAATAAGGCTTTCTACCTATTGTAAGAATATTGGAAAACAGATGGGAAAGAGGCAAAGTAATTTTCTAACAAACAAAAGAAATATAAATTAAGTATGAATATAAAATTGCCTCAACAAGACTTATGTTCAACAGTTTTGGGTATGTGATGATTAAAATGGAGGCATCTGATCAGCTGGCATGGGGGCACTCCTTCCTCATACTTGCGTATTTGAGATCATACAGCAGCATTGCACAACTTCTTAAAGGGCTCAGATCAAATGAAAGACTGAATTGAGAGCTTTTACTTGCACTACTGGTGCTCAAAATCAAATAAGGTACATTCAGACTATCAGAATTGCCAATTCTACTTTCATAATTTCTTATGAAATTCTTAAAGTAGGAATCGTTTTGCCATTACGAAAACACTCACTTCAATTAGCACAAGCCTCACACCACAAATCCCACTGACATAGATCTGAAATGCTAAGTAAAACAACAATTGTTTCCCACAAGATATTGATGCACTTTTAATAAACCTTTGATTGCTCTCACTAGACAGGCAGATATAAATAACTCTATGGCAAGTTGCCGCTGAAGTATTTTAAAAGAAGACAACTTTGTTTACTGAACAAAACTTTCATTTATAAAGCACATTTTTAACGTACTTAATCACCCCAAAGCACTGCATAAGACTGTTGCCAGACAGCATTTGACACAGCTCATAAAGAGATGTTAAGACAGGTTCTTGTTAAAGAGGTAGTTTTAAGGTAAAACAAAGAACACTGCATGCTGGAAGTCTGAAAAAACAGAAAATACTATAGAAACTTAACAGATCTCCAGCATCTGTGGAGCCCGAAATGTTAACTCTGCTATCTCTCCACAGAGGTAGTTTTAAGGAGTGTCTTATAGGAATGAGATGTAAAGGGGTAAATGTGGATGTTCTAACTGTAAGTCTATCCCCGCTTCTTGAATTGTAAAGGTGAGGACCTGCTGAAGTGCTGGACCAAGCAGTCTTTCAGTCCTTAACCTAAGTGAGTGTAATCCTTGTGGAAACTTTGAATGTGATTACAGATGAGCTCTTCCAAAGATCCCAGTGCACTGGCTCTCTTTTTAGCAGCAGATCCTTTTAATCAATCTGTAAATTTGGTTATATTTCCAACTGATAATCAGACCAAGTCTAACTTCTTTCGTTCTTTGGGTGTAATTTCTTAAAATTCAATTCCTGAACAACAGTTTTCTCCTCAAGATTACTGTTTATCACTTGGTGCATGAAAATATTTAAACAGAATTTTTGTTTTGTGACTTGTCCAAAAACTGTGGTATATGCCATATTTAAAATAGCACAAATGATGAATCCAACTGCTAAATTAGAAGTGTTAAGCTGAGATGGAGAGACGGGTGTAAGGATCGGTATATAATATCATAGTGGTGAATGTAAGGTGTCATTTTTTCCATACAAACACTCAGAACTGTAGAATACTATTTAATCACTAGAGGAGGCATGTATTTTTAGATGTGTTGAAAACATGTTAAACAAAGCAAAGTTAGTACTCTTTATGATAACAAATAATACATGGAATGTGCACAATTGTTCAATGCTGATCTAGTGCGACATACAACAAAGACTTCATTTCAATTCCCCATCTGCTGTCACTCTGATTTTATTTCTAAGACCATACTTGTTGGAACATCAGTATATTACCACAACAATTTAGCCAGTTAGTTTGTTCGCCATTCAGAAATTAGTTTAACTTTATCCAGTGGTCACTGGTCACCATCAAATATTAGAATTTTTAATAAATAACTTGTCAAATTTATAAATTGAACCCGCTTTAATGCATCCATGGAAAATATTAACCTCCCAATCCTCATGTTGTGCTTCTAACAAAATTTGTTCTCCAAATTTATGCTACAAACAAAAGTAATAGTGTGGCAAATGTTTAGTACCTGTCCATGAGGTATATCCAGTTTGATCACTTTAATCCCAAGAAAAATTCCAACACCTTCTCTGAGTGTGCTACGGTTGCTGTGCCTTAAAAACGTGTCATCAGTCTTCACTTCTCAACAGTTAACAGTTAGACGACAGTGAACTTGACACTGATCGGAAGTGAGTTGCACTGAAGGCGTTTTCCTGTCAGTGCTGGTTTTCTTCACTCTTCAGTTTTGCTATCAGCTAGCACAACGTGGTGTGATGCACTTGGAACCGTGTTTGTGTGTGTGTTTTTCCTCTGTTAATGAGTCATAAATGTTTTAAGGTTGGCTTGGCAAATTACTAACAAAGCCTTCCCATTTTGTGTCAGATGAGCACAAAAATGCAGTTGAAGGAAATGATTATGGGATTGAAGTGTACTTTGACTCCACTGGTTCAAAATAAACTTTTTTTTAACACAGCTGACTTTTCAGCAGGAGAAGTTAATTCTTCTGGTGCTGAAGGAATCTTTAAAATTAGGCTGATATTCAGAAAAGCATGCTTGTGTGAATGCCAGTGCAAGTTTTTATGTTCAGAAACTGAGATACATTCATTTTCCATCTGAGACTTCTGACTGTATAACTGCACATTCATTAAGTCCACCGGTTTCCATTTCTGTAAATTACTTGCCTTCATCGTTACCTCATCTGCTGCTGAAACCCTAATCCATATATTTGTTACCTGTTAATTTGATTATTACAATGCTGCTTTGACTGGCACTTGTATTCAACCCAACGTAAATTTGAGATTTACGCAAACTCTGCTTACATCCTTACTGTCACCAAATCCTGTTTAGCCATTATGCCTTGCTTGCTGATCTACATTCGCTCCTAGTTAAAGAATAACTCAACTTCAAAACTTTCATGCTTATTTTCAAATTCTCCACGGCCTAGCCCCCACCCTATCTCTAACCTCCTCCAGTCTTTCAACCCTCTGAGATGTTTGCACTCCAAATTGAGGTTTCTTAAGAATTTCCAATGTTAGTCACTATCATTGGTGGCCAGATTTTCAGATCTCCAGGGCCTAAGCTCTGGCAATCCCACCCTAAATCTTTTTTTCTGTCCCCTGTGTCAAGACAGTGCTTAAAATCTAACTTTTTGATGCAGCCCTGTGTCTCTTTATGTGATATGGTGTCAGATAATGCTCCTATAAAGCTCCTTGTCATGCATTACTAAATCAAAGTTGTTACATAAACGTAAGTTATTTTCTCCAACAAAAACAAAGTTGCTGGAAAAGTTCAGCAGGTCTGGCAGCATCTGTGAAGGAAAAAACAGGGTTAACGTTTTGGGTCCGGTGACCCTTCCTCAGAACTGATGGTGGCTGGGAAAACGTCAGTTTATATGCAGAAAATAGGGAGGTGGGTGGGGTAGGGTGTAAACGATGGGAGAGATCCTAAAAAGAGAGAAGAACAGTTGGACAGACAATATCAACTCCTTTGTCTGTCCAACTGTCCTCCTCTTTCTTTGGGCTCTATCCTATCGTTTACTCCCAACCTCACCCACTTCCTTATTTTCTGCATATAAACTGATATTTTCCCAGCCACCATCAGTTCTGAGGAAGGGTCACCGGACCCAAAACGTTAACTCTGTTTTTTCCTTCATAGATGCTTCCAGACCTGCTGAGCTTTTCCAGCAACTTCTGTTTTTGTTTCTATTTACAGCATCCACAGTTCTTTCAGTTTTTATAAGTTATTTTCTATTTTACTGCCTTAGCTGGATTAGTGGAACAAATCAAGAATCTTATGTGTAAGGCTCAGTGGTGGATAACATGACTCACTGAACCCACAGAGGAAATTTGAAGGCGCAGAGTTCTTAAAAATTTAATGTACCAATGTTATTGAAATGCAAAATACAAACTACTGTACATGTGCAAGCATATTATGAAGTTTTGTTCTAACACTCTGAGCCTGCACTGCCTAGTGGTGTTAGTGTGGTTGGTGTCTTCCTTTTGTATTTCTTTTCAATTAGAGTCATAGAGTAATACAGCCTGCATACAGGCCCTTCGGCCCAAACTGGTCCATGCTGACCATGGTGCCCACTCAGCTAGTTCCAATTGCCCACATTAGGTCCATATGACTCTAAATCCTCACAAACCATGTACCTATCCAAATTTTTTTAAAAATGTCGCTATTGTAGCTGCCTCAACCACTTTCTCTGGCAGTCCGTTCCAAATATGCACCACTCTTTGCGTGAAGAAGTTGCCCCTCGGGTCCTTTTTAAATCTTTCCCCTCTCACCTTAAACCTATGCCCTCTAGTTTTCAATTCCCCATCCCTGGAAGAAAAGACTATATGCATTCATCCTATTTATGCCCCACATGATTTTATACACCTCAATAAGGTCACCCCTCATTCTCCTATGTTCCAAATTCTAGGTTCCTGCATCCTGATTTTGATTGTCTACTCATTACAGTTGTGCCTTCAGTTGCTGAGGTCCCAAACTCTGATATTCCCCCGTTCTATATTTCTCTCCTTCTTTAAGATTTTGTTTTAAAGTTACCTCTTTGATCAAGCATTTGATCATCTGCTCTAATATCTCTTAGTGAATTATGTCATAAAAGTATACCATTCAACATACGACATCAGTGCTGGTTTCCTGAAGGAAAAAATCAGTTAGTCCCATTCTCCTGCACAAATATTTCATGGATTGTCAAAAATATTGCAATATTAGCATTGTCATGTCAACTGTAGTTTTAAGTGTAATTTCTTTGTCCTTCCTGCTTTGTTGTGCCGTACACAATCTCTCTTGATCCACTAGGGCAGATGGCTTAATTCAAAGGCTTATGACAACTACATTTCATCCAATTAATTGCTGGAAAGAACGCAAGAAAGGTCTGAGGTTACTTAGAGTGTGTTCAATATTGTGATCCTGTATTTAATCATTTGATGCGTGTCATCAGATCAGCAAGATTATTCATAGAAACATAATTCCCCTTATGTTTTTAACACTTATTACTCTAAGAATATGAGTGCACTTCCCTAATGTCCTTCCACCTGTTTGGTCTTTGCTTCCATCAAACTCAGTAGATGAGAGAGGAGGTGTAGCCCATGGATGTTTGTTTCACCTGTTATGTTTCAATTGTATCAATAGTGCAAACAGTCATTTGACCAGTTTTGAAATATAATTCATTAACACACCACACAGATTGGCTAGCCATAGCCAAAGAAGAAATTGTCAGTATAGTGGGTTAGTAGGAAATTAGTCACACCAATCAGATTTTATGCTGTTTATGTTTGGTTGTCCAGTTTTTTTGCAGTGGACACGTTACGTGTTAGTGGCTGGTGATTACTGTGCCTAAGGGAAATTATACCTGCCATTCAGCTTAAAAGCTATTTACCCCAGTTATAGAATATTCCAGGTTTCAGTCCCAAGTTCTGCTATTTCACATAGGCAATTAAGAGTTTTCTGAGTATAATTCATATTCTGATCTTGTTTATCTGGCATGGACTATCTTGTGGATGATGCCTACTTGAGATTAATATACAGCTCAGAAGGAAAGAAATAGATTTGCTGTTTCCTGAGTATAATTCATATTCTGACCTTGTTTTTCCGGCATGGAATATTTTCTGGATGATGCCTACTTTGGTCTCAATATATAGCTTAGAAGGAAAAAAGTAGACTTGCTTTTCTCATGCACCCTTCATAACTTCAGGACACCTGAAGGAATTTTACAGTTAGTTAAATACTTTTAATGTTTAGTCATTGTAATAGAAAAAAATTGTGTAATATCTGCACAGCATGATCCCACAAATAACGATCTGATCATTTGTTTTATTAATATAGGTTGAGGGATAAATATTGGTCACAACACCAGGGCAAACTCCTAGCTTTCCTTGAATAGTGCAGTGGGATGTTTTACATAGACCTGAGAGCATAGACAAGGCTTTGGTTCAATGCCTCATCTGAAGGTTACGATGTGGAAGTGCCGGTGTTGAACAAGGGTAGACAAGGTCAAAAATCACACGACACCAGGTTATAGTCCAATAAGTTTATTTGAAGACACAAGCTTTCGGAGTCTTGCTGCTTCTTCAGGTGTCAGTGAGAAAGGTGGCATCAGACACAATTTATAAGCAAAAGATCAAAGGATGATAGAATTGATGCAGTGTTGAACAAACTTAAGATGGCTGTTAAATCTTTAATCAGTCAGAAAGGATTAATATGCAAATCCCAGAATTTCTTTCAAGTTACTGCCCCGAGATAACTAAAGATTTTATCTGTATACCAGAGTGGCATCTCAGGTCAGACCATGCATTTTAGGTGTGAGGCCTCATTTAGAAACTGGCTGTGTATTAACTTAGAGTCAGACTGGTTTTATTTCCAAAGTAAGAATTTATAAACTGCCACATTGTCTGTCTACAAATTGTGTGCTTTTTGAACAAAATAAAATAAAAGATACAAATCTGCAAATTCACCCCATTAATTTATGTGTGCCTGTGTGTGTGTGCGCGTGTGTGTCTCTCTGTCATATACACACACACACACACACACACACACAGTCTCCCGCTCTCACCCACACTCTCCCTCTCTCACCCACAGTCTCCCGCTCTCACACATGTCACCCTCCACCCCACACACATTCTCTCTCTCTCTCCCCCCCAACCCCCCCTCCCCCCCCCCCCCCTCCCTCCGTCTCTCTCACACACACACATACACAGTCCTGAAGAAGGGTAATACCTGAAACATTGATTGCTCCTTTCCTCCAGATCCTGTCTGGCTTTCTGTGTTCTTCCAGCCTTGTCTTTGCTGGAATAAACTTTGTCTTACTCCATGTTATGGGTTTACAAATTCTGCCACCAAACATCTCCTTACATTTACGTTAGTTTGCAATTTGCCTTGACTATTTTTCCTCCTCCCAATAAGATATCATTGTTTCCACTGTCGTGACCTTGACCATGTGGAAGATAAGAAAGGAAAAGTCAGAATTTAGTTATTTAGACCATTCAATTATGAGAATGTGATTGAGCAATGTTCTTAAAGTGAATGGTGCCAAGATTTAAAATGGGCCAATCATCTGTTGATCTGGCATTCGTTGGGTTGTGGCTGAATGTCTATATTGCAGTCATTGTGATAATGCTTTAGAACAATGTGTTTTGTTTTCAGCAATGAACACAAATGAATGCAGGCACAACATTTATTAAATAGTTTGGTCTGTTTATTCATCTGTGATGTTTCTTCAACTCTTTTCACA